CACTTCTCTACTTCACTGTGAGATTTATAATCTGGTGATTAGTAAAGGGAAGACAGGGTAACTATCGTATTCAGGTATGGCTGAAAATAGCAGTAACTGAAAAGCAACCAAAAAGAGGTTTGCTTTTTCTCTCCTCTCTGAAGGCAGTCATTGTGGAAGACCAGGAGGCATCTAATGAAAAGCCAAAATAACTTGCCCTAATTTTTTGAAGTTTAACTCTCTGATGAGACTAATTCCATGTTTTATTAGGGCCACTATATATTGGTACAATAACCTCATTTCCAAAAATCCACAGAGCTGCTTTGGCACAGGCAGGATGACCTCCTTAACAACTACTTCCACATTCTCTAGATTTATTCCATACTGTTACTGTTTTTCCTTCCGTCTTCATAAATTTTCAGACAAAGTATAGAAAATTCTATATTCTATATGATTCTATATTCTACAGAATATTCTATACAATAGAAATTCTATATAATAGAAATTTCTCACATTTATTATTCGGTTTTCCTGTAACTTATTTTTATTCTTCTTTTCCAGCTTTATATTTTGTACGTTAACTAGAATATGGGAAGGAAGGATGAGCAGACTATGCATTGCTTACACCGTATAAAAAAAGTAATTATATGATGTATGAACAGGAAAGCATTTCAAAGTTAGGCATATTGTTTCATAAATGCGGGTTGTGTCAACTGCTTTACAAGCATAGGAACATGATCTTTCATGTTGCTCCAATTAAGCTGGATCCGCTATTATCTGAACATCAAAGCCGCAAGCGTTGCATTCACAGTGGTTTTTCAAGATCTAATACCACTTACAGTGTAAGTGCCTTAAACTTGAACTCAGAGAGAGGAGTCTCAGGAGCTATTTATTCTCTGCCGAGCACAGCTGCATCAGGTAGTTCTTCCCGCAGTACTAAGTAGTTACAAAAATTGCAAGAGACCATGTGGGGTACCATAGTTCTTGAAGTAATCTTCACCCTTCAAACAGACACATTAATGGTGCCTATTAATTGTAGCCCACGTAGGAGCCAGTTAAGTCAAGCATAAGCAGCTATTGCAAAGCCGTGCCTTAGTCGCTTTGTTGTATGGTACTCTCCTCTGCTGTATCAGGAGGATCTTTGGGAAATTATTCTCTGGTTCTTGGCTCTGCAGTAGACTAAACCACTGTAATGCTTTTGCAAAAAACACATGAAAGAATATGGAAGGCTTTTTCTTGAAGAACGTTAGATGCTGAATGTCTATCAAGTATGTATCCTTATTACAAGTTATTGGCTCCAATAAAAAAGAATCTGATTGAAGATCTTTGGCCAAACTACTGGAATTTGCCTTTTTCATAAGCATCATCAGGAACTTACTTTCCAATTCCTCCTTCTTCCATCAGAAGAGCTCGTTTGTTCTTGTCTACTGTGAGATTGAGCAGAACTCCACAAGCAGAAAAACAGACATCTTGGTTCTTGGCATCAAGTAAAGCAATCACGAACTTGTAAACTGGATTGTAAAGGAAACAATATTACTGGGAAGATGGACTTATCACGGAAGTGGCATTACAACATACTTACTAAACACGTATTTAGAAAGCAGTCAAATGCAGGATATACCCTACCCAAAAATTTAACCTTGTAGCATATTACTGTGACATTTGTACAACAGGCATATGAGCCAGAGTAGCAGCCATTATTACATCATGCTGAAGACCAGCTTTCTTCAAAGCAACACATACAAAATTCTAGTTATAAAAACACAGCAAAGTA